CTCAAAATGGCTGGTCTGACTACGTAGGAAGTAGTAACGTTCTTGTGGCATCCGGCGGTGTACAGCGAAGTATTGCGAGCACCACTACAGGGCATAATATCAACAGCCCTGATCTGACACTGAGGCAAATTGTCACGCTTGACGTTCCTGACAGAATAAAACAGCCCGCCTTACTCAAAGCACCCGTCGTGAATAAGCGCTGGAAACTCAATGAGAATATACCAAAGATTCCGAGTAAACGACGCAGAATCGAGACTTTCGATGAGCCCCTCAACTTATCCGAATTTTGCCAGACTTGTGAAGTCTTACGATCGTCTCTCCATCAAACAGACCAACACCGTTCAGGCCCGCAAGACTTGGGCATCCTATCTGATCTTCTTGTGCACTGTCCTGGACACCATGACCTCGTCCACGAATTTCTTTCGTTTTGTCGCACTCCATCTCGGTCACAAGATTGCCTTCCTGCTCCTTTGAATCAACTGACTCGATATGAGCCGGACCATCTTTATCTGCAGGCTGAAGATGGCCGGTTCAGACTGAGCACAACACACTTCTTCTGGACTTTGTGCATGGCTAAGCGAGAGGATGTTCTCCAACATAAAGGCCTGGGACGGATTCTAGATCCTAATTGGGCAGATATCTCCGGGGCAAGGCGATGCAAAGACCGGTGCATTTCGTCTCACGGGCAGGAATGTATTGACCCGCTCAGGGTCGGGAATGCATCACCAGAATGGCTGATCGATACTCAAACTGACACTCTCTTCCTGGCAATAGCGCTTCAGCTTTCGTGGCCATCAGTTACAGATGGGGCGTTGGCAAGTATCTCGGGACAACAGTGGACAATCTTAAGCACCATCAAGAACATGGCTCACTTCGTCGACCTGGCGTCTCAAGCAAGCTGGCTCCAATCGTTCGGCGCGCAATGCAGCTCGTACAGGCTATGGGCGAGCGTTATCTCTGGGCTGATACGCTATGTATAGTTGATGGAGATGAGCATTTGAAAGCCCGAGAATTAAAGCGGATGGGCGAAATATATGCCAGTGCCGTATTTACGATAGTCGTCGCCGATGGGGACGCCGAGACAGGACTACACGGGATCCAAGGAATCTCACCATCACGAGAACTAAAGCAGCATCTTATCCCGTTCAACGATGAGCAGCTTATAGTCACCGATGCTCATCTCGGAATGAATACTGAATACGACAATCGCGGCTGGACGTTTCAAGAGTTCATGCTTTCCAAGCGGCGATTGATTTTCCGCAAGAGCAAACTTTTCTGGATGTGTCATCGTGAACAAGCCGCAGAAGAATTTTTCTGGGGAGAGGACCTCGGAGGAAGCCTTCATTCTGAAGAGGAGCCAATGGATACCATCTTAGCAGGCTTCCCTGGCCTTGACTATTTGAACTCAGTTATAGTCAGATACAATAGGCGGAATCTCACCTACGAAGATGACGCGCTGCCCGGAATTCGCGGTCTCCTAACACTGCTCAGCCGCACCTTCCACCAGGGGTTTCTGTACGGCCTGCCGGAGATGGCATTTGATCAAGCATTGGCGTGGAGGCTGGTCTCTGGTGAGATGGAGGAGCGCGAAGCCTCGGACAAAGATGGATATGCGGATAACCCTGACTACGCCCTGCCATCATGGTCGTGGATCGGCTGGCAAGGGAATGTCCAAATTCCATCTCAGCTTGGGCTGGAGGCAGGCCGACAAGACGGCCAGCTAGACACAATTATACCTACAGCGGAATGGTTCACGAGCGAGTTACCAAAGAGTGGTTCTGGACGCCGTATTCAGTCTATGTTTACTAATATCTTGAAAAGACACAAGTCTCGGGCCGAAACCCTTCTACCAGGCTGGACTCGGCGCAAGTATGAATCACGAGATAGAAAGTTGCTACCTGTACCACCAAAGGGCGGCGGACAGTATATCTTTACTCATGAGTCATTGCCGGAGAGGTATTTCTGGCAGCAATTCCCCTTGAAAAGCATTGAAAGCTCTACAACTTCCTTCAATCCAGAACAGACACCCTACATATCTTGCAAGACTAATCGCTCATGGCTTACTGCTCGTCGGGGTCATTCACAACTTGGATCCCCTCCGCAATGCGTCACGCTCTCAGACCAAAATGGAGTAGACTGTGGGCTATTGCAGGTGCATAGTACCGATCGCTTCGAAGAGATGTTCACCGATACAACTGAGGTGATAGTAGAGCTAGTTGCAATCTGTAAACGCCGGGTTGTCGATTTGAAGATTGGCTCGGGTGAAGCTCTTGGTGAGGAGCCAGGAGAAGACATAGATGAAGAGTTAGGAACAGGCTTGGATGGAGCTTCAATCGAACGGACTGAGTACGTTGTCTTATGGATTGAGTGGGTGGATCAAGTTGCTTATCGAAAGGGTATCGGCTGGATCCCTGAGGCCTCCTGGGAAAGCCTGTATCTGGAGGAGGTTGATTTGGTTCTTGGATAAAGATTAATCGTAGCGAACACATAATGGACACAGGTTGATGTTGTACGGTCGGTCACGACCCTCTGGAGTCAGATAGCATGCGAAAAGTCTATTATGACTTGTTTGGTGTGCTTGAACAACAAGGCGGATCTGATAGCTCTATTATAAGAATGACTCAGGGTCAGTTGTTTGCGTTCTTCGATATGTGTGACGTTTTACAACTTCTGTACTCACAACCCCTCGCCATCGCAACTTCACCGCCTACTAATTTTTTACGATATACTCACAAGCTCCGCTTCCAACGACTGTAGCGATTGATGGCCTAGTCAGCACTTTGTTGCCGCAGTCGTGGTCATTAATAATGTCGGCAGAAGTAACTTATGCTCGCCCATTGACAACTTTTGGCTACGTCTAATGTGAAGGTGGACGGTCAGCATCAAAGAAAAAGAAAAAAAGATTCCCAGCAATTTCTCAATACTGCCAGGTGAGTCAACGAATAATGCTTTCTTTTGACTCGGTCCACATCGTCGACGACGTGTCCTCCTCGCGTCGCCACTTGCAACCATCTGCTTTAGTATATACACCCAAAGAGAACAGCATTGTCTGGATTCTATTAGTAGCACAATCAAGTCACGATGCTTGCTGCTTTCGGCGGTCTATGTGTTGGCTTTTTCATCCGATGTTCTTGTTGGTTTAATCGGGCAGCCGTTCTGACAAAGAACCACGGCACTTTGCTCTCGAAACCCCCAAGCCAGGGTTGACTGGAGGAACAATTATAAATAGAGAGCACTCACAGTCAATCAAGATGGAATCGCTTCAATCAAGCCTATGTTCAATCAGAGCATTTGCGTTCTATCCGTGTTTCATAGACTCAGGGTGACTCGCATAAACTAATGATGGAGTCATCTTCTTACAGAAATAATGATCGCAAGTCTGTTCGCATAAATAAAGAGACTAAACAGCAAATAGAAACAGTGAGAAAGCATAGGCAAGGCGACACCGGGCAATCCAAATCTCACAACAGCACCCGCAACAGACAGAGCAAGTCTCGGAACACTACTTCCTCCCTTGACGTTATACTTCCAACTAGTCTTCGCAAGCTTTTCCAATTCTGCGGTCTGATGGATTATCAAGAGGGCAGTAAATACAGAAGGCGACATAAGCCAGGGACGAGTGAATGGGGTGGAAGTATTACTGGATATACCCGAGATAGGGGCGATGTGAGTTGAGTCCTGTTGCTTTCGGATTTTTTGGCTAAACCTCGTCACTGAACAGGAAAACCCAGACAACTGGGGCTTTCGGTTTCATCCCCAAAAAGATCGCCGTACAATACCTGAAGACGTCCTGCTGTCCGGGCCCTCGGTTCACTCTAGCCATCATCATAGATCCCATCGGCGCCATCCTAGAAGCGCTAGAAGTCCCTCTCCCTCGCCGAATCTGGCAGCCAGTGGTACTCGACCTCGACCTACTCCAATACGAGATGAACAAGCAAGTCAGCCGTGGGAGACTCGGCTTCGAGAACAAGAAGAGGAGATCCGCCGTCTAAGAGAGGATGTTGCACGCATCCGGTCTCGCTCCCAGTCTGAAACCCGATCTCGATCTCATTCGTGGGAGCGAAAGTCTCCATACTCCCGTAGCGAACATAGCCACCACGACGCGAATATCTTCCGTCAGGGACGGAATCTAGGTAGTGATGAGTTGGACGAGGTAAGGCGACCTCGTTCATGGTCTAGATCCAGAGTGACGGAGCGGGTGGAGATAAGCCAGAGTCCGCCGCCTCGGAGAGGTTCACCCACCCCTATAAGGAGAGTGGTCGAAACGATCACGATTCGTCCGGTACAACGAAGCCGTAGCCCTCATCCAAGGGGTAGGCCACAGCATCATGGATTTCGACATGAGGAGCTACGCATTGTCGAACAAACACGGAGCTCACAGGATCGCGCAACCACGCACTCGGATAGATACTACTCAAGATCACCGCCTCCTAGGAGCCCTAATATAACGATAGCAAGGCGAGCTCCTCCTCGTGATGACTATGCTCGAGGACAACCTAGGAGTGAGGGGTCATCTGAAAGAAGGAACAGAAGGGATGAGGCGATCAGGGATCGCTCCCCGAGGCGACAAGATATCCGACCTCAAAGGGGAATTTTGAAGAACCCTCGCGGGGACTCACAAAACTCTGCTCGGCAACGTAGTCGAAGTTCATCATCTGCAGAAGAAAGACCTGCAGAGAAGGATGCGCTCCCGCGAGGCCGTCGAAATGACTGGCCTCGGCCATTTCGGCAGCCGGTGATGAACAAGAAAATCAGTTGGGAACACGATCCACCGGAACACAGAGACGACGACTATCGTCACTAAGATGCGAAGATATTGACTGAGGAAATTTGAAGGTTAAGGATCATCCAAGACTGGCTTGTATTCTCATTTATTAGTAATATACATCTTGTCATTTAGTGATATCAAAAAAATTTCATTCGTTAGCAGCTGTGGTAGCTGCCCAATACTTGATTATTTAAGAGATCGTACACATCTATAATAATCCTGCCTCTATTCTCTACATTGGTGCTTGCCATCTAGTATTGATCTGCTTTTTTCTCACCTGTCGCGAGATGTCAGCGTCAGACTCAGATGGAAGATAGGGAGAAAACTTACCAAAGGGCTCAAAAACGCAACACCGGCCGTAAGAGCCAGAACTGTGCCGATCAACGACACCTTGTTAAAACCCTTGCCTAAAATATCAAACGTCAAGCTGGGGGATACTCTGGTGCCGAAGACATCCACACCAAAGGCAAAAACAAGACTCGTGCTCTCCACGATAGTCGGCGCTGTGATGATCTTCTGAACGCCAATCACGTCTCGTTCGTGGGTGATGACCGATTTGGGATCAACCTCGATGCCGGGTGTATACTTCATCAGGCCCTCCTCGACTTCAGCAGGGGTTGGATCCCGGCCAACAACGCGACGAGGCTCCAATACATGGCGAGGCAGCCCGATAATTCCATGAGTATCAGGTAGATAGGCAAGAAGTTGACGCGTGGTGATACCTTGCCTTGTTTGAGTAACAGTGAGCGCAGAGATCGGAGCCGCAAGGACAAATGTTTGAGAAACGACCGAGGGCAAGACAGGTCCCGTGGGACGATCAACCGGGTCGATCGAGGAGAAGTTCGCGGCATCTCCAAGCGGGCCCCTGTCATTAGATAGGTCAGACTCGTACAAGTCCGAAACAACAAGTTGGTAACCCTTGATGGATTGAGCCAAGTTGTCCTTGAGCTTGTACTGGCCATAAAACGAACACAAGAACCAGTTCTCAGTAATAGCGCACTCGATAGGTTTGCCAGTGTCCACTCCATCGTGCGTCGCAGCCGTTAGAATCTGGCCTGATATGGTGTCAAGCAGATAAATAGTGAGACTGGCAGTAGTGATATCTGTGGCGGCAACTACAATGGTGTTGGGGTTCAAGTACTTGTACTTTACCCCACGATCCCCAAGAACCCGGCCAATGGAGGCGACTGGATCATGAGAAGGTCGTGTAGCGACATTGACGATACGCTGAGAGCTTGGAACGGAGAATATCCATGTTGTCTCTTCGACAGCTTGTTCGCCTTTGTGAATGTACTTGACGCCGCGAAGCTGGCCCTCAACGCTCTGAACAATGATTGTCTGCTCTGGTGCCAGAGCTGCTGGCAGATCACCAATCTTCCCGTCGAGTCCAATTGTCAAAGGCCATTTGCCTGAAGGGGTATCCACAACGACGGTGCTGAGAACTGGGGGCGCTGAGCCAGGCGGCATGGTCTCGATTGCCTTGCCAGTGGCTGTCTCGACAACGATGTAATCACCATTAGCACCTCTTACAGTTGCAGTACCCTTGATATCATTGACATAAATGCCCTTGACAATCCAAGGCTCACCAGGAGCTACGTCAATTGCTTTTCTCGACCACAGGATTTTGCCATGATCGTTGGCATCGAGACCATAGAGTCTACCGCGCCGGGTAGCTAGCACCACGAGCTTACTAAACCCAAAGCTATCACGGGTTAGGCCTGCCTTCTTCGAAGAAATGTCCGTGCCAAGGATGCTGCCAAGCAGTCTCTGAGGAATGGATACCAAGTAGTTAGGGAGATACTGGAGGTCATCGATGTGTCGATTGACACGATGAATGTAGGCAGATAGTGGGTTGCTGTGAGCCTCGGCGTCAAGAGTCTTGGCCAGCTCTTCAGATTCCGGAATTTCTGCCCATGACGCAGCTACGGCGGCGCTCAAACCTTCTGGCCGAGACCATGCAAGCTCTCCGTTCCGGACCAGGATCCAGTCGTCAGCATCCGTAACAGCGGCTGATCGGACCGCGTAGCTATCACCCGCCTTCTTGATCACTTCGGATACGGCGTGAATAGCCTCAGCGTTGTACTCGCCAGCAGAGATGGGCCAACGACCTAGGACACCATGGGAAGCGGAAGATGTGACGCTTAGCTCATCAGCTGTGATTCTTGTAAAGTAAACATTGGCACCCTCGGAGCTAGTTGAGAAGGCTCCTGGTCCTGGCAAGTGTGGCAGGTCATATGCTTTCGTGATGGCGTTAGTCTTCGGGTCGACATGGAAAACCTCCGCCTTGTTGCCTGTTGCTGTCCTGCTTTGCACAAGGAAATGAGGTTGCGACTGAACCAAATGCGGAGCATGGATATCAACACTCTTGGTCTCCGCCAGAAGGGGGAATTCCTGTGTCTTCTTCGTGCCCAAGACGTTGATCTTGAGTTTAGATAGCGAGTTGTCCGTCCATGCGACGATCGGGGCAGCAGAATTGGAGCCGACGAACATGACATCCTTCTCGCTATGCACATCGCCCTTCGTGCCGAGCAGAAGCTCGTCAAGCCGCTTGCCCGTCAACGTATCCAAAATAGTAACCTTCAAGCTGTACGACGTAAGAGAGCCATGGAGACTCACAACGAAGACCTTTTCGACATTGGTGCTGACCTGCAAAGGCACGTCTTTGTTGGTCTCTTTGAATTCCCAAACCACAGTGCCCTCACCACCATGCAAACGCCTGAGCACGGTTGTGCCGCCCTCTTCTGTCAGCACCAGCACGTCCTTCCGCGCATTTTCTGTTAATTCCATAATCTCAAGATCCCGAACCTGGCCATCGAAATCCGTCCACCACTTGTTCCTCCCGCTGACAGCATCCCAGGCGTGAGCTGACTGCCCATACGCACTTGCCAGCCACGTCTCGCCTTGGCCAGCTCTTAGGTGGCCGCCGCCAATCGAGATGTTGCCGGAAATGAATTGCCTCCATACTACAGCGCCACTACTAGGGTTGACAGCGCCGAGGACGCCGACATCACTGAGAGTGTACAGTAGACTGGCCTTGTCATCTGGTCGTGGCCTGTGGAAGAAGGTGGTTTCGCGCTGGGGCACGCCGAGGAGCTCGTAGTGATAGTCAATGTGGTCGACTTCATCTTGGAAGACCGCTCGGACGGTAGAAGGGAGGGCGAGGAGGAGGAGCGCAGAGACAGAAGGTAGAATCATGGTGAAGGATGACCGCGTAGGCGGACTGATGCGACAAGCGCAAGTCCTGACGTATCGTGGGCGAAGCTGGAGTCGTTTCCTATGTTTCCATCAGACCTTGAATCAATTTGATCTCGCTGAAGATGGGTCGACTTTGAGAGTCCCACAAAGAGCGGTTGCTGTCGGGGTTCCGGGGTTGGTGTTGAGGACGTGAAGCTCTACGTAGACGTTTTGGAGCCCCAAATGTCAAATGTGGGACCTCTAAGCAGCCCGCCCTGGGAGCTTGATGACACAAGCTCAGATTCTTGGAGAAGCCTGTGCACGGACCATACATAGCCTACCTCCTTTTACAGCCACATAGAGTCGCTGTCCCGTATATGTTCTTTGGGTTGGAATATTTCACGAACGAAATAAATTAGATCGATGTTAGGTCAGAGACATTATTGCATACTCGTCATTACCCTATGTTAACCAAACCGTGTCAAACGCAATGCCAGACTCATGCTATCAAACCAGCAATTCCATACATATACAATCCCATGGTGATGACACCTTGGGCCTCCAATCCACTGCAACCCGTCCGAAACAATTATAAATGACTACCCATTTCCACGGCTAAACGCCGCTATGATGCTGACTCTTTAATCCTGATTCCATTCCGCGATCAATCATCACCTTACAAAAACCCCTTGGTCAGACTCGGCACACGACTAATGCTGCTCTTTCGCTTTGGGATCTCGACCCCGTGAATAGACGCATCATCATTCTCGCTGCTCGTCAAAGTCGACCGCATGGTGCTCATGGTACCATTCCTCCTCATGCTTCCGTAGCCAATGACGCTACCGGCCACACTACCGAGTGCAGAGCCTTTCTCCATACGAATATGCTTCCAGCCCTCGAGCTCGCGCTCGAGTCTGAGGCTCTTCTCCTTCTCCTCTCGCAGTTCCCGCTCAGCTCGGCGCGCACTTAGCTGGTTGGTGGACTCTGAGGACTGGAGTTCGTCAATTGTCTTGAGCAGCTTATCGACTTTGTCTCGCATGCGGCTCAGGTCATCCTGCATTTGCGAGTTCTGCTTCTCCTTGCGATCAATTTGACCTTGTAGGTCTTTGACAACGCGATCCACATTACGGACCGATCGTTGAGACTTGCTTCGCTCAGTTTCCTGGACCTCAAGCTGTGACTCGAGCTATAAAATCGTTAGTATTTATTACATGAAGAAGGATGAGATGTCGATGCTGAAAGCTTACCTCCTGGATTCGTTTGTGCAAGAATTTAATATCCTGACTAGCGCTCGAGTACCCCTTTGTCTCCAAATCAACAAGTTTGACCTGGACTTCGTTCAGTGACTTTTCCAGTGCAGCCTTCTCCTTTTGAAGTTGAACACTAGCTTCTCTCTCTACGGTGATGTCCTTCTGCACTTCAGAAGCAAGCGCCTCAGCACGCCTCATCTTCTCCACTGCAGCAGCAGCAATATCCTCCTGCTGCGCAAGGTTGGACTTGAGCTCAAGAATTTCCTTGTCAATGTTTGCCGCATTGCGAAGTGACGGGCTGTCGCCTTTAGCAAGGTCATCAAGCCCAGCCTTGGCTTCCTCGAGACGGACTTCCAGGCTGCGCTTTTCGCGAATAAGCGCATCACGCTCCGCAGCAACATCGTCTACTGAAGATCGGAGAGTGCGGACTTGAGATAGTAGATTCACTATCTTGCCTTGGGCATCGTTATGGGCATTGACAGCTTCGTCGCGTGAAGACATGACATCAGAAAGCGTGGCCTCGAGACGTGACTTCTCCTTGGACCAAGTAGAGCTATTGAGCACCTCATCATCCCACTTAGAGCGGAGGTCATCAAGCTCTTCGCGGAGCCGAGTGATTTCGGCCTGCTTAAAGAGTTTCTCTTCTCTGGCTAGGTCAAGTTCCTTGGTGAGTGTCGCGAACTCTGCTTGGTACTTCTTCCTGGTCTGCTCCATACTTGACTCGGTGTCTTCAATGTCCATCGCACGTTGATTTCGGTAATCCTCAAGTTCATGTTGCAACCGCTTCTTGGCTTGTGTCACTGCCTCGAGGTCCGTAGACATGTCTTCGATCTTCTCCTCTAGACGTTGCTGCTGGCGTTGAAGGTTCTCGACCATGCCATCCATCTTCTTCCGCTCTGCCATGACTGTTGCGTAGGTATCCTCAGCTTCCTTAGCTTGCGTTCTTGCGAACTGTTCGGCTCGGTTGGCCTTGAGTACGGCTATTTCGGCCTGCTCAAGCTTCCCAAAGTATTCGTCTGCACGGCTTTTGTATAGATTGAGACTGGCAGTGACATCTGCAAGCTTGGAGGTCTCGGCGTCCAGTCTTATCTGGAGGTCAGAGAACTCCTGCAGCAACTGGCTGCGGCTGCTTGCTTCTTGTTCTCTTGCAAGAGCCATTTCCTGAAGGTCGGACTTTGCATCGCGCAGATCCACTTCGAGCTTGGCTCGATCGTGCCTGAGCTTGTCGAAGTGCTCTTTGACGTCTGTCAGCTCGGCCACAGCATCTTTATGGCTGTGAAGGAGCGATCGCCTTGAATCTTCCTGGCTGTTAAGTAGGTCAAGGATCTCTTCGTGAGAACGGGTCTGGATATCATGCAGAGATAATTGGCCAGTCCGTATTGTTTTCTCCAACGCCGATACTTTCTTAGCAGAATCGTCGAGCATGTCATGTAGACGACTATTCGCCTTCTCGAGTTTCTGAACCCGCCTCGCAGATGGGCTATCTGAAGAGTAGGTTTCAGGTCCCGGGGTTGCTCGATCCAGTTGGCTCTGAAGGTGGCGGTTCTGCAGTTGTGCGAGCTGCAGCTGGTTTTGAAGTTCCTCTAGCTCGGTCTTGAGATCCATGCGGTTGTTGAAACTCAAAATGTCTGCAGTCCGTTCTGAGCGAAGAGAATCATGGACAGGATCTGGCTCATTGTTATTGAACCGTCGAGTAGGCGTAGAGGTGTTCGAGATCTTGCGTCCATTCATCTTATTGCGCCTCTGGGTGGGCGAGCCATTGAAGGGTGCCTCATTAAGGTCGATCTCCTCAAGTTTAGGTCGGCTCGGGGTGTCGTTCCTCGAAGCTCTTAGATCAGCAAGCTGTGCTTCCGCATTGGATCGTGCTGCAGTCTGTACGCGGAGGTTCTGTTGCAAATCCTCAATCTTCCTAACCAAATCGAAGTTCTGGCTCCAGACCCTCTCATTGGTACCATCAACCTCAATATTGGGCACAGCTGCTGGATCGACAGTCTTCAGGACCTTGAGCATTTGAGCCCGGAGCTCAGTCAATTCCTTATCTCGAGAATCAAGGGTTGCTTGGAGCGTGCGCACGGTTCCCTGAGCCTGAGTACGCAGTTGACGTTCTGATTCGACATTGCGATTTGCTTCGGCAAGCTGCACTGTGAAGTTGGATGACAACTTTTCTGCATTACGGCTTGTCTTGACCTCTCGGGCAACTTCATGGTTCAGATCCTCGAGATTCAGTTGCAGCTTTTCGAGCTTCTTTTCCAAGGAGGCAATCGTGATTTGTGACTCGCCGAGTTGTTTGTTCAGCTTGTTGTTCTGTTCATCCAGTCTCGTCTTCTCACGTTGAAGGAATTGCAGCTGCCCACGGGATGCTTCACTGGCTCTTGAGCTCGAACGAGCGATTTCCAAACCCTTCTGTTGCAACTTGTTAAGCAATGCACGGTTGTCATTTTCCGAAGCAGTTAAACGGCTCTTGACAGTGTGGAGTTCTCGTTCAAGTCGTTCCTTAGCCTGGTCATTCTTTAATCCAAAGTTACCAGAGGACAGGATCATCTTATTGAGATCCTCGACCTGCTTGTTGAGCTTCGCACATTCTGCTTCGAACCACCTTAATCGCTCTTGAGCCGCATCAAGATCTTGTCGAAGGCTGTGCTCGCGGTCCTTGGCAACACGGGATGCAGCACGCTCGCCAGCAACCTCAGCCTCTCGGCGAGCTTCTTCAGCTTGTGACTTGGCAGCTCGAAGCCTTCGAATTTCTTGTCTTGCTTCATCTCGCTCTTTTTCAGCTGTTGTTCGGGCTTCCAGGGTCCTCCGCAAGGTGTCTTGTTGCGCGTAGAGTTCTTTCTCGATCGTGATTTTGGACTCTTTGAGTTCTTCGTATTCATCCTTCAAGGTTTGATACTTGTGTTCGCCAAGGAGTAGGACATCATCGCGGGACTGTCGCTCCCTACTCAACTCCATCTGGATGTTGTATAATTCGCCTTTCAAGTCCTTGATTTGGCTTTCCAAGACCTGGCGATTTTGATCTGCTTGCGCATCTTCGGAAAGTCGAGCCTGAAGAATCCTCTTCGCATCTTCTGCCTCACGCTGAAGCTGTGATTGTTGAGATTTGAGAGCTACAACCTCAGCCTGTACTTCTCTAAGTCTGCCAGTAGCCTTCTCCTTTTCCGATGCGAGCATCTTGCGCTGATCATCGAAGGAACGCTTCTCCATCTCGTACTTCTTATTATCCCCTCGGAGGAGAGCTAACTCACTCTCCTTTTTCCGAACTAGGTCTTCATAGTCGGTAGACGTTTTAGATAGAGTCGACAGTTGATGCTGGACATCACGATTCTCGGCAATCAGCTTTTGTTCACGAGTTCTATAGTTTTGGAGTTCTTTCTGGGCCGCCACTAATTTGACCTCGGCATCTTGGTCAATCTTCAGCAGTTTGCCTTCGAGATCGCGGGCTTTTCGGTCCTTGAGAGCTAGTTGACTTTGGAGCATATGTACTTCGTCCTCTAGGGCGGCCTCCTGTTGACTTCGTTCTGACTGTCGTTGGGAGATATCTTCGATGGCTTGTTCTAGATCGCTAACGCGGCCGGCAAGCTCGGTCTTCTCTTCCTCCAAGCGAGCAATTAGAGCCGCTGCCTGCTCCAATTGGCTGCGGTACTTCTCGACCTCATCTTCGGCACGCTTCTTGGAGTCTAGAAGATCGTCAAGCTGATCCTCCAACTTCTCAGCGTCTTCGATGGCACCAGCCAATTTGTCTTCTAACTCTGCCTCTCGGAGCTGTAATCGTTTGAAGATCTCTTCCTTATCTAGTGCTAGAGCGCGTTCACTTTCGAGGGTCTGTTGAATCCTCAGCATCTCCGTATGGACGTTTCGCCTTTCATCCTCAAGTCGTTGACGATCTGTGGTTTCTTGTCGCATCTTCTCATGGAGTTGACGAATGAGTTCATCTCGCTTCTTCACCTCAGAAGCTGTCCTGGTGGCACCTAGCAAGGGCTTCATCTTAACAAGTAGTTGCCACCAAGGGTTTTGACATAGGTCGAGGTACACGCGGAAATTTTGCTGGATGACTCTTGTTGCTTCTGCACGATACAGTCGCTTATAGGCGACTCGCCGCTGCATATAGCCACGAGCAACAGACTGGAAACGAGACATGATTTCCGTGATAAGCGTATCACGTTGCTCTTCCAGCTCTGCAAGCACTCCTGCTCGGAAGAAGACCTTTGTCAGGCCTACTCGGAATAGGGCTCTATCCAAACCAAGCTTGTCGAGCATAATAGCTGCTGCGGCTTGTCCTTCTAGATACCCCTTGGGCATGTCACGGCACAAGACTTCATATCGCTGTCTGAACTCAGCAAAAGGCAGCCTATTGGGGAAACCAGTGCGGGCAATACGGATGCCCTCTAGGACACCGTTGCACCTCAGCTGATCAAGGACGAGGAGACTGTTGAACTGCTTTGGCCGTTTCTTGTGGTTTGGTAGAATACACCTTACGAAATGTGGATGGGTCGAGTGAAGTTGTGCCATCAGGCTCGATAGCTGCTCCTTGTGCCTCTGAGCTACTGTGCGGAAGAGTCCTTTCTTCACTCTGCTCCGCACACCGCCAATGTCGTCGTCCGTATCGGCGCAGTCAGCGAAGAGGGTCGCAATGTGCTTGTCAGTTGACGCAGCGAGCAATCGCGTGATGTTGTCATTCAAGGGATCTTTGTTCTTCTCTAGCCATCCTTCAGTCGAATATTCGACTTCAGCGGCGTAATGGGTGAGGACGAAACCGTGCCGCAGCCGTGACGATCGATATTTCGGAGATTTCTTGTCCCATAAGGAATGGAGTTTCTCAGTGAAAGACTTATCTGATGCTTTGGGCATTACACAGTCTTCATCAAGACATGAGAAGATACCGATCGGGTTGGGTAGCTCGATGAGATCGATAGTTGGTTGAAGATCGCGACCAAAGTCGATGAACTGCCATTCAATCTGTTCTCTGGCGTATTCCTCTTGTTCTAGGACAAACATGTGGTGATTGAAGAATTGCTGAAGCTTCTCGTTGGTGTAATTGATGCAGAGTTGTTCGAAGCTGTTCTCTTCGAATATTTCGAAGCCAGCAATGTCCAGAACTCCAATGAAGTGGGAATCATCCAGTCCCATACCAGTTCGATCTAGTTGACGGTTGATTCTTGTCACCAAATCTCCGAATCCACGTTCATAGATACCCTTTGCAAGGGCATCGACTCCGAGCCGTACTTGTTCTGGTGTTTGAACCTTTTCGACCCATTCGCGGCCGGCTTTGACTTTAGGGTGTAGGAGACCCTGGAGAAATGGCTCTAGCGGCACTCCAAGAAGTTTGCACACTCGATCAGCAACCTGCTTTGCATCAGGCGCTAGGCGTGCTTGATCTGCGGATCTGCTTTCCTTCATCACAGTGATGTTTCCTAGGTGAAGAACTGCTGCCACGGTACGCAGAATTGAACTCTGCTCCTTGTCTGAGAAGCCCATCACACCGAACGCTTCCATCAAGGAATCCCATTCCTCTCGATCCGATACGCCAGTGATCGTATCTTGGCCATCACGAGTGTAGGCGAAGTCTTCGACGTCGAGACCATCAATCAGGAAATCTTGCTTCAGGCGTCGATCAGCTCCCTTAAGTAGCTGATAGAAGACATGGTAGTTCCGCTCATTGTTATTAATGCGTACAACGCGCGATTTCTCAAGAAGGTACCAATCGATGAAGGCGCCAGCGATTGATCCCGTGTTTGTGAATTCTATACGAATGAACTTGCCAAATCTAGACGAGTTGTTGTTTCTGACAGTCTGTGCATTCCCGAAGGCCTCCAGAATCGGATTTGCCCGGAGGATTTGAGCAGATAGGTTGGAGTGTTGGCCGCGATTCTTAACTGGCGCATCTGAATGGGCTACCGCGGCGAGATACTGGATAACCTTCTTGGTATTCTCGGTCTTTCCTGCACCAGACTCTCCAGTAACCAAAATACTCTGGTTTTCGCCTTCGTCGACGAGGTTTCGGAAAGCCTCATCGGCCATGGCGAAGATGTGTGGTTTGGTGTCCTCTCGATTCCGGCCCTTATACATATTGATGTACTCATTCGTATAGATGGGCAATGGGCAGTACGGATTGACTGTCACCAAGAAAAGACCCGAGTAAGTGTATATCAAATCTGCTTGGTATCTCATATGCAGGTTGTGCACGACGGATGCTTCATTAAGGTGTGTGAGCTCGGCCATGTCGTTTGCCTTGTCAAACTTTGCAGGATTGACCTTGTCTGCACTCTCGGCATCGACTTCTCGTTGCTAAGAACTAAGGTGAGAAACGGAGCCTCCCGAACATGTTAATATCACACTTACACTTCCGTCGTCACACTGTACTAATATCCTATTTCCTCCCAACTCCTGTACGACCCAGCCCTTCACGAAAGCGCTCTGTGGGTCCTTAAGCCACACGTAACGCTTCCCGGAAAAATCATTCTCGCCCTCAATGCCCTTGACGACATCGGGGGTCCGCCTCATCTCTTCCGTTTTGATGAAAGATGGGGCGAAAGTGTTGGATTGCGGCGTGTCACTACGAGAACCAGAATGCGAATGCTTCACGGAGGTCGCCGGGGCGAGTACCGCTGACATAGTGGCCTGTGAATGGTTCCGAGTATGTGAGGTTGGTGTCGACATGTTTGATCTAGGAGGAGAGAAGATGGCGGACTTTGGTCGACCTACGGCGCCGGGGCCGGGTGATGGGGAGGCGTTCCTCGCGAAGGGATTATTTCGTACTGACCCCATCCCATGAGAGTTGGAGGCCATGATGGGCAGTCTTCAATGCACGGTAACCAGCCCGGTGATGGCGAGTGCTTTGTCTTCAGATGGGTAAAAGAGTCGTGTAAACAGTAGGAAGACAGCCTCATTAGAACCATGCGCCGGGCCCAGCTCGAAGCATCTAGTCTAGGTTTTAAAATGCAATAGAAGCGTAAGAGAAACGAAAGAACACTGAGCGTCGCAGCGTCTTCCTGCTTGCTGTAGCAATGCAATATCGCGAATATCGAATTTGAGGAAGTTGAGGTGGAATGTCGGAATGGTTGAAGACGTGTGCCGGTGGTGTCTTGGATGGCAGTTTAGGGCGTAAGGCGGGACCTGAGTGGTTGCTTCCCTGCAAAAGTAAACAGAATGACGGCACAGCAACAGTGTCGTTCAGTGGGCCAGCTGGGGCCAGTTGGGGCTCCCGGCTGGTGCCATATGCGCTAGTCCTTTTCGAGCTAGCGCGTCCGTCTGCCTCTCTCAGAGTAAAGGGCAGCAGTCTGTGTCTGGCTGGATGCGGCATCCTTTTGCAGAGGAAAAGCATCGACCGAAAACCCAACACAGAATTCAATCACGTCGAGTTTCTTTGTCCGACCTCATCTCTCCTGCCTCCTCACAACACCCGATCTCTTCAGTCCCGTAACAACTCACCTCACCACTGGATAAAAGGCAGCAGTCATATCTACACCACCGCAGATCTGCCTTCTGGCAAACTCTTCCACAGCATTTCTTTTTTGTCGTCTTTCAGCTTTCCCTTGTTACCCTGTCCAATATTTCCGCCACCAACAGACGAACCATCTGCTCGAGCTAGCCGCTGTGCAACCACCACTCTCCGAGGCCATCCACAGCCATTTGTACTTCTAATCCTCTGCGCCATCCCTCCTCACTTCGACCACGCGTTCTCTTTATCAATGACGATGCATGTATAGAAAGGCATTGCAGGTTTTCGTTGCTGTCTTCCCTGATTGCCTAGCACCGCAGTCCATTATCGCATCGATCATTCACGATGTCTCAATACCCCTATGGTTATGGTCAATATCCGGGTCATAACCCACAGCAACAGTACCCTTACCCGCAATACGACCCGAGTTATGCGCCGCAACCTGACCCTAATGCCGTCCAAGCGCACTACGGCGCATCGCAAAGCTCGTATGACTACAACGCGAGTAGAATACCTGGACTGGGAATTGCAGGAACACCAACCGGGGTATCTCCATATCCTGGATTGAACAGCGGGCCATGGACTCAGCAGTCTCCGATGATGAACGGGCCTCCAGGTTCCGCGTTCCCATTTCCAGCTTACGCGCCTCCTGTAACCCCGGCGAGTCAACCGTATACACCATCATACCCACAAACAGTCGCGCCACCGGATCCTGCTCCTGCGCCAGTGTCTGTGCCTGTGTCTGGCCCTGAGCCGGACACAGCATATGATCCGGAGAACGAGGAATCAGCGGAAGAGGGTGAAGTCAGCGAAGGGGAGTTTGACGACCTCTATGAGCCGAGAGAGCCTGTAGTCCAAGATAGTCTTGAGAAGCAGGTGACTCAGGCAGACAATACGTCGAAAGCATCAGAGAGTCGTGACGAAAGTATGGTAGATCCTCAGGATGTAAACTTCTATGAGACTGAAGTGGAAGACGTGTCCATCGTCCCGAATGGCGCAGCCACTTCCGCAGCAGGTCAGAAATTTCTATAACCTCTAAGAATACACACGTTCTGACAATTTTAGTTCGAGAGCGGTCTGGATCATATTCACCGTACCTATCTCCCCGCGAGATTCATCACGATGAACCGACTTCTGACGAATCAACGCGCAGCTCATCCGATGTCCTCCGCGCAGTCCCGTCGCAACAACGGAATCTCAGCGCTACAAAGCAACAGCAGGCTCAGAACACCTCTCAGGCTTCCATATCAGCAACATCACCTTTCAAAAGTGTCGCAGAAGCGAAGAAGGAAGCACAGAAAGCCATTCTCAGGCTCTTACCACATGGTGTCAAATATCAAACCTACATAGACGAAGGGTTTGACGAGAAAGTGGTCAAGACATTGTTTACTGAGCTCAATCTCATACCATCCTCCGACTCACCTGTCTTGCAAATGTCTTCGACACAGCCCGATAAACACAAGGTACCAGCTAGTAAAGCTGAGTCACCTACCGCCACGACTGCCTCGAAGGGGGAGGAGCGAAAAGATCGGATAGCACGACTTCTAGCTCAAAAAGCCGCCAACCCCTCGAAGCCTACCGTCCCTTCTCCTTCCACGATAAAACCAGCGTCTTCAGCTTCGAAGAGCGGTAATCGTCAGACCACAAGCGTCTCTAAAAAGTCTGGCAAGTCAAAGGCTGATATGGACCTGATTCTCAAACAGAAGCTGGAGGCTTTGATGAAGAAAACCCAGCAGTCACAAGCGCAGAAAGCTACTGGAACCAAGGACTCCATACCCCCCTCAACTTCAGGAGGCAGATCTCGCCCGCAAACAGAGACTCCACAACCCTTACCTGCATCGACTCGATCGCAGCAGCCTTCGCCTCTGCCCGGTGCCTCCGTTCCTCAAGCTTCGACACTTTCTGGTCTTCTAGCCTCTGCAAATCACACGGCGCAGACCAGCAATCAGCGCAAACGACCTGTTGCATCCGACTTTGTCGACTATCCTGCTTCCAATCCAGCCAAGCGGCCATTTGCACCGAGCCACCAAGAGTCTTCTCTGGTCATTGACATTAGCGACGAATCAGACGACGATGTGGAGATGGATGTGGACTCCCCAGAGGATAGCACATCCATGAGTGCTGTCCCATCCGGCCCATCTATCCCGAGAGGTCCTTCTATTCGTGATTTCCCGCCGCTTAGCAATGGGCTGCCTAATAGGCAGTTTTCAAGTCCGGCGCCTTCATCTCATACTCACACCCCACCCCACCACACAAATGGCAAGCCAGCGGAAAGCGAATATTTGCGCAAGCTTAAGGCAATCGCCGAAATCAAGAGACAGATCGCAGAGAAGGAGGCGAAGAAGGGCGCAAAGCAAGGTTCTTTGGGCCCTCAAACACCAAATGGCGGCACAGGAACACCGCCGGAGGTCAGGGCATTAGAAATGTCAGAGTCGCGTCTTAGTGAAGCCCTATCTAGCGGGATCGTGGAGTCTTCCGACGGCCCTTCCGCGCAGCTCATCTCCGAAGCACAGTCAATAAAATTGCCCAAGCGTTCTGACCTGGCGTCTAGCAGTCAAGAGTCTACCAGAGAGCGACGTCTGCGCATCTCAAGCGTACAGCTTCCTCGAATTGAAGCTGGACTAGCAGAAAAGAATGCCAAGCTGAAGCTGCTCCGGGATGCCGAGGCCAAACTACAAGCAGAAATCAGTGCGGCCATGGCGGAACAGAAGCGGCTCAACGAGGAGATGAGTACACTCGACTTGGAATCCAAAGAATCTACACCTCTCCCCAGTGGCCAAGATTCTGAGGTTCCATCTGCTGAGCGAGATGTCCAGCCGGGCGGGCAACCGTCGCCTACAACACCATCGGGAGATCAACAGGACGAGCCCAGCGTTGAAATGTCTGGTGCACTCTCGCCAGACACACATCGTGATGACTTACCTGTGGATGTTCCCAAAGTAGTTGCTGCCAGTGTCGAGCCCGAGGCCACCCAGGAACAGCCTGAGGACCAGTCAGATTCACGCGATACTCATGTTGACAGTCACAGCGCCGAAGTGGCAACGTCAGTGCAGGGTGAACTCGTTTCTTTGCCATCGGTTGAGGTCGAGACTGAAGATGTTGATGTCGCAATGGACATGGGATCTATTGATGAAACGACCGAGCCCATTGCTGCTTCATCTGGTGTGGATGATGATATAACTCACAGCGTCGCCGACGATCCCGAGATGCTGAGGCCTCCCGAGACCACAGGTCGAGATACTGCAGATCAAGCTCATATTGACACTCCATCCTTCAGTCCTGCCCCAGTGGACCCCACCATAAGCATTACAGAAGACACCCCTCAGCTTCAAGTGCCCGAGGCTCTTGAAACATCCGGAACCATGCCGACGCAGATATCCAGCGTGGACGTTCAAGCGAACGATGCGGCGCTGGAGGAGCATGCAGAAACCGCAGATGCCCCCAGAGAAGTACATGTCGTTTATTCAACGCTTCCTGTGCCTTTCTCCTAACACATCTTGCAGGATGATGATGAGCACACATCCGAAGTCCGAACATCCTTTGTTCCGTACGAAAGCCCATTGCAATACTTCCATGCCTACCGCTTCCACCCCAATTACAGTAAATCTGTGCCAGGAGGCTTGAAATCATTGACGTACAGCAACAGGATTGACACAAAGAAGGAAGTATGCCCTTACGAGCTCGACGGTCAAGCATGTCCTAAAGGGGATGACTGCGAGTTCCAGCACTTCCAGAAGATGGCGGCGCCCGGTGAGTAGCTTATACGTCCACATGACTGCTAACAAGAGCAAACCTCCTTGCGCTCCCGCCGACGCTGACTGGGAGTCCTATCACCTTCTAGATGACCAAATCCTCCTGGAATTGGGTCAGTCGGACGAGTACGCCGGCGACGACAAGACGCGCTTCATGGCTGGTCTGCGACAACTGCTCACAGAGTTCCGTGCTGCCAAGGTTAAAGACTTTGCCAGCATTGCTCAGGGCATCGTCGACTACCGCCGTCGCTTTCTAAATGACTCGTCCAAGGTCCTACGCCTCGAAGGCGTCCATATTTAACGGATTGCGTTGATCATCCGTACACATCTGCCTCTCGAGGTATCTATCGCCCTTGCCTGCCACCCGCCCATCCACCCAGTAGATTTCCCTGCGTTTCCTCATTCCAGTAGGACATGCCTCCTTTCCTTGTTTTTGCATTGCTTTTGCGAGGACTTCAGCACGAACTGGACTCCTAAGATGTCTCAATGCATCATCATCACCGGTCGCCCCATCTTTTCCATCATCGCACAGCATGGAGTTAGGGAGACTAGGTTTACCCAAAAAGGAGGCACTATATGACGATACCCAGCTTTCGATTCGGTAAAGCTTGTAGTATTATTTGACGGTTTACGCGATCAAGAGTCGCTGTCAGTTGTGGAAGAGAGCAGACCGGGCGAGACGCCTGTGTACGAAGAAGAAAAGAGCGAAATGCTGAAAAGAGAAGATCGAGTCGTTGACTCGGCTTGGGCCATGCGAGACCAGAGACGGTTGTGGTTTGATCCCAACTTGGATCTCTTGGGCTGATGGATGGCTTGGATAGTAAGCTTCAACCGAGCACGTAATGAAATACCTTGTTTTCCAAAACAGAGTTCCTTGATGTGGAAATACTTATTAAGCGAGGAAGGGTGATTTGCCATTCCTGTAAATGATAACTCGTCCAGTTTCGCCTCACTCTTCCCGACGCGTAATTAGATTTCCGTGCACTGCAAGCGAAGACAGTTTGGTCGAATCCTGAACAGAAAATTTAAGTCAACCGTCCTTGCTTGCAAAACAGAGGTGACTCCATCTGTGGTGTCAATGTTGCCAGTCTGTGATGACTTGTGGAGTACTTGAAAAGCATCGTCGAACGATTTATATATAGCGAACACCCAACCACGGACAAATAAGTAATCACCGGTGGTAATCACCGAGTGCCCTTGTCAATTCTCCCCCATTGAGGATTCAACAAATTTCTGCATCGATTCCGTCTTGAAGATGCGCAGGATAGGAACGGTAGCTGGTTGATGGTGGACTGTGCTACTTGCTCACAATTCAGAAACAAAGCGGCTCAAGATTATGGAATCTGCAAAAGAGCTGATCGCATGCAGGTACGCGTGCAGGATCTACTAGACTGCTTGCTACTACTAAAAAGAGAGAGAAAGACCCAACAGTGTGTTGTTTGTCACATTGTTTCATATCATTCTTCTGCACCAGATGCAATTCAACTCCTGTGGCTTCAACCCTGTCACAATTTCTCGTCCAATGCAAGCGGGCATCACGGCTTCTGGCTTTTCAATGGCCAGAGATTGAAATTAGCCGTCGACCCATCATCGTTGGGCAATTGGACCTTTGAGAGTCTGCGGTCTACAGTAGGGTCGGACGGGCGACGATCTGTGCCGTAGCTTCAGACGCTGGGCCTTGTGGACCTCCCAGACCCAGCGAGCCCGGGAGCCCAGCACAATGCACCCTTCCCCGCCTTCCATGCCGTCTTGGGCATGCAGAGCTCGCCAGGGGTGGCAGGACGGCGTAGTTGCTGCGGTGCCACACACACGGGCCAGAGGTGAGACACGCGGACCAACCACAGCGGTCGCCAGGGGCACAAACGGACCCAATGGACCCCACTGGACCTTGATGGGCCTGGATTAACGTTAGGGCCCCCTGAAAGGACTCACTCTCGGAAGTCTAAGTCACTTATACGGGGGCCCAGTGGCGTTGTGAGGTGTGCGAGATGGGCTGGGGCACAGCGCGAAGCTTGCGAGGGATGAGCTGACAGGAGGAGCAGAGAATGGAGCTTTCTCTTTGGATGCTACCTTATCTCCTTCTTTCTCACTTGTTTTCAGTTCTAACGCTAGGAATTCACTCCGGTGGGTAGGTAATTAGCTCCTGCTGTTGGGTTGCTAAGAGTCTGTGGCTGGCTGCACCTTCCTTATTGCTGGGCCAATAAATAAGATCGAGCTTCTTTCCAACCTCGACGAGCGCCGCTCTTCCTCTCTCCGTCACCACCAGACACCAACACATCCTCTCCAAAGCTTCACATAGCTTCGTACAGCTCCCGAATTCCTCAATCTGCTCTCGCATCAGCTCAGACAAGCTTCTGAATACCCACACGACCCCCCAATCGCTCAACATGAAGGCTGCTATCATCATTGCTGCTGCCGGCGTAGCCGTTGCCCAGAACCTCTCCGGTGTGCCCACCTGTGCCGTACGTATTCATACTCTCCAAGCCAAGTTTCATCATAGCTAATACACTCTTCTTCACAGACCTCCTGCCTGTCCTCCGCCATCACCGCCGCCGGCTGTGCGCCCACTGATGTCGGTTGCCAGTGCGGCCCTACCAAGAGCGCCATCGCAGGCCTCGCGGCACCTTGCCTGATCTCCGCCTGCACAGCTGCCACCGACCTCGTTGGTGCCCAGTCCGCAGGCGACGCTCTGTGCAGCATCTTCAGTGCCGGCGAGACTGCCTCCGTCAGCGCCACTACTACCGGCTCGGGCTCGGGCTCTGTCGCATCCACGACCACTGTCGTCCAGACCACCACCTCTACTGGCGCCGTCGAGACCACCGTGTCCGGTGGCAGCATCACCACCTCAGTTCCGGTCACTACCACCGCGACAAACTCTGCCACTGTCATCAACGGCACCGTCACAACTGGCAGCCCCTCCGGCACGGCCTCTGCTGGAACCAGTGGCTCTACCGCTGGTGCTGCGCCCACTGGAGTTGCCATGGGCGCTGGTGCCTTGCTTGCCTTCATCGGTGCTGTCGCTGCTCTGTAAATTGGTCGGGGATTTTGTCATGACATGTTTTGGCAACAATCTTTTGAACAAAGGCAATATGGTCTAAAATGGGAAAGGTGCCGCGGATGGATACCCATGACTTGGCTCATTGGAGCTACTACAACTCATGAGCTATGATGGTTCTGTCCGGAGATGGATGTAATACTAAAACAAGGCACTGTACTTCGGCGTCTGCTTAAAATGAGGCAAAAACCAGCTCACATACAAAAGTAATCTAATAATCTTTACCAAGCCCGATGTCTTTTTTCTATTCTATCTGTGCGACGATTGTTGTCAACCTCTCCAATAAGCTCTATGTATGCAACACATGTACTGATCTCACAGGGCGGCTTCTTGCATGAATTGGGAGCCATGTGTGCCGCCAGAAAGTCTCGTCGGCGACAGTATCACTATACCGTCATGGCCCAATGAACAATTTTCTCACTTTCCAAAAATATCTAGTTTTCTATGTACGACCTTACGACGAGTGATCGTGACGTTCACTGTCGTGGCTCGACTTCCCCACAATATAAAGATTAGCCTAGGCTGATGGTGGTTCCAGTACCCGTTTCTATCTTCCAAGCCTGGGTAACAAGCTAATCGGTATCTAGCTAAAAGAGAAGCTTGTGTCGTGACAAGTCGACAAGAGTTTGCCCACGATGTCAGACAATTCGGCGTGTTTGCGGGTCTGCGTTGTGTGTTAGCAACTCCGTTGGGAGTTGTAGCTGTGGGGTGTGACCTTAACCAAGTCGACATACCCGCAGTGTCCTTTTGCGAAACAACTAAGCCGGCTCTTGGCCGAATTCTTTGCGGAACTCCCTTAGCTAAGTGGCTGTGTTTGTTGGGTGACCGAGTCCGTTTCGGAGGATCTGATTCAACAACTTGTTCCCGTATCTCTGTGACCAGTCTCCGTACGACGTTGTTGTAAGCGGAAGTAAGTTTTCCCTCAGTGACAGGTTCCCTCGCCCCTTATGATACGTTCAACCTCCTATCCCTCTGCAAAATGGCCGTCGTCGCCTCGGCCTTCCTCAGATGCTCCTCGTCCGGCGGCGGAAGCTCCAGGTCCACCAGCCACGGCAGCTGGTACGGCTTGTAGCCAATGTTCATGATCGCCGCGTTGACAAACAGCGTGTGCCGGCCCTGCTCGAGCGTCTTGGCGTCGCCCGCGCACAGGCTCACCGAGACGCACCGCTCGCGCGCGTACCGGTTCGCGCGCTCCAGGTTCGCCGCCCGCGTCGCCGGGTCCGCGGCGTGCACGTCGAGCGCGTCCAGCCCCAGCACCTCGTCGGGCGCCTGCTGCTCCGCGCCCGGCGGCGCCAGCCTCTGCGGTGGGGCGAGGAGCCCGGCCGGCGCCGCGGGGGGAGGCCGGAACCCGTCCACTTTCGGCTTCCATGTCACCAGCTTGGCGCCCCAGCCCTCGTGGATGTGCCCGAAGCAGTGCATGCGGGGCCGCGCGCGCGACACGGCGTCGAGGAGGTGACGGCAGCCCGCCCTGGCGCCGAACAGCGTGCGGTCGAGGACGTTGCGCGGCGGGCCGTGGGTCATGGCGAGGTCGACGCCATCGGGGATGGCGAAGTCGTGCGGCCCGCGGTACTGGAAGGCCCAGCTGCCGTAGTCGGGCGTCCACGGGCTGGCAAAAACGGTTAGACGAGCTCCGTTACTCGGCAGCACGAAGTGGTAGGTTCCCTCGTCGAGGAGGTGGATGCCGGCTTGTCTGGCGCGCTCGACCAGCTCGTACGTCCTGGCAGGATACTGCGCCCTCTCAGCTTGCGCGTAGTCGTCCAGCCAGCTTATCTTGCGTTCCCAGTAGGGGGCGTCGAGAGTCACATCGTGATTCCCTGCGATGACCAGCTTCAGGGGCGCGTCGATCTCATGCATCAGATTGAAGGTGGCCTCGTACTCTTTCAGCAAGGAGTCGTAGGTAAGATCTCCGCAATGGATAGCCACATCGGCTTTCGGCAGAGGTCTGCGGAAGCCATTGATCACCGTCTGATCGGGCCTTTGAGAACCCAGGCTATCATCACTGTCATAGTTTCGGACACTGTCGGCCTCGTCGAAGAGGCTCGCGCCATGGGTATCAGATATGATGAGAAAGCGAGTTTTTATGTCTCCTTGAACCATTATATAGATATCAAGATACGTATGAGATTTTCGATGAAATGATTCAATGCTCGTAGTAGAGAGGTTGCAACTGGGTAAGGAGGGCTTCAAAATTGTGGTCTCGAATACTGCTTCTCTTAGGAGAGCATTCTCATTAGGTTCAAGTGACTCAACAGGCCTCTTCAGACAACTTGCAAAACAGTCGGCAGGCAACAAAAAGTAAGGCCAGAAGCAAAGAGTCACACTTCAGTGCCTGAGCTTGCAATTCTCATGGTAAGTAGGTATGCCCAGTCATATCTTCTTACAGTAAGGGTACCGCAGTGCGGTTGGAGGTGGTTGTCATTAGTCTTGGGGGCCATAGCATGCAGGTCAGCCTTGAATGGAACCTCAGAAGCCCCACCGACGTATTGAGAACCGACCAATAATGACCAACGAGCCACCCACCTGCTAGCAGGCACACCTCCAAGCAGCGGAAGCCTGAGCGCCCTCACTACCTACTCAGCTCCTTCAACCACGAGCACACTGATCAGCCATGGCTTCACCATCCGCACCCCCAAACCCGCTGTCCGGAGACGACGAACCCAAGTATGGAGGTTACACGCGCTTCGAGATTGAGTTGGAATTCGTACAGTCCCTCGCGAATCCAATGTACCTAAACCACCTCGCAGCGCACAAGTTCTTCCAGCAGCCCGCCTTCGTCGAGTATCTCAAATATCTCCAATACTGGAGCAAGCCGCCATATCTCAAGTACCTCACGTACCCGGGGCCTACATTGAAGAACCTAGAATTGCTACAGCAGGAGAGGTTTAGGCAGGATATCATCAGCCCGGAGCTCGTCAACGCGCTCATGCAGGAGGGTCTCAAGGCATCGGTGGACTGGCATAAAGAAAGCTGAATTCAGTCACGAAAAGCTAGCTACGGTATTCGGTGTCGACCGTCTAGTGTACAACGCCCTGACGCCTTGCAATGCCGGCAAAAGCAAAAATTACCATGTGTCCTAGCAGACACAACCCCCAAAACCATGAATGATGGTTAGTTTTCCCGCCAACGATGACCGCATTTCATGCACTGACGAGCATCAAGTTAGCCACACCGTACCAAATCGCAGCTTCTCCGGCCACAGCCGTGTCACATACCTTATAGAACGTCGTCATGGGCTCGTCGGCGCTGCGGATCTGCACTTGAAAGTACGCAGCTTCGTTACCGTCGCAGTCCTCGGCGGGGCACTGAACGGTGTGCTTCTGGGCATTGTCCCAGGCTCCTGGCCCGCCAAAGACATCCTCCTTCTCCTTGCGGGTGAACTCGCGGCGCGAGTACAGGGGCTCGCTGATGGCGAACTCGTAGGGGCACGTTCGGCACTCGAGTCGGTTATTGCCAGTGGCCATGGCGGAGACGGTGAGGATGTTTGCGCAGGTTGGACAGACTGGGAGGATTGGCCCAGATTAGCAAATCGACTCTCAGGTAGTAGGCGGAATTTGACTCACAGAGCAGCATCTTGGCGGTAGTCTTCTGGTGGTTTTCTGCAGGGAGAGAATAGACAAACGTTCTCTACTACCGCAGCCTCGTTCGCTTGCGAAACATGTGCGGCCTGATTTCGTGTCTTGCTTGTGGTTTGTTTGTCGCCAAAATTTCTAATCATGAGTCTGCAAGATCGTCACCCACCAGCGGATTAAGCTTTGCGCTGCAGTTGCCATTGGGCATAAGTCTGTAGGCGCTAACCATCCCGCCGGAAGCCGCAAAAAGCAGCATTCCGTCAGCTGCGACAGTGACCAAGGCACTGAAGACCAGCCCCACCAAGGCACACCTCATCCAGGTCACTCAGCCCACTCAGGTGGCCGGCTCGCCGGGTGGTGGCTGCCCCAAGCTACCTGCTACCAGAGGAGACCTGGACGTCACACTGCCACCTCCTTCGAATGTCCCCAAACGCCGGACCAGCCAGAGAGAGACGAACAAAGCGCCGCGCGTCTTCAGGACAACTCTTTGCCCAAACAACTTCACAAACTGCTAGATATCTTGAGATATCCTTCTCAAGAATCTCAAGAGCTAAACTCCGCTTTTGATCTAATCATTGCAGTCCATTAATCGCCATACCGCCTTATTGCCCCGCCATCATCCATCGAAACAGGCGGTCTCGTCTACGGAGCCAACATGGCAGGCGATGAAGAGCATGAAGTATGACCATAGAGGACATTTTGCGAGAAAATCTATATTCTAACATTTTTAAAGGGTGCTTCTGTGAAGGAACAGCTCGTCGAAGCCTGCAGGAGGAACAACACCGACCTTCTAACGGAGATCCTCGAAGGCAAGAGCGAAGACGAGATCGCCAAGCTCCTGAACGAGACCACAACGGTGATGGGCAACCATTTGTACCACGAGGCAGCATCAAGAGGGAACTGTAAGTTTCTCCCAACAGCCCCCTTCCTCCTGAACTCTTTGCTCGCATGCCAAGAGGACTATAGCTCAAACCCTGGCCTGCAGACGAGATCATCGACATGCTCCTCGACCAGCCCAACTTCGAGTGCGACCCCGTGAGCCGCATGGAGGGCGACACGCCGCTGCACACGGCCATCCGGTGGATCAACAGCGAGCCGCCGGCGCAGCGCGAGTTCGGCAACGCCCTCGTCGACATGATGCTCGAGGCGGGCTCGAACCCGCGCCTGCGCAACAAGGCCAAGCTCACCCCCCTGCAGCTCGTCGACCCCCGCAACGCCGCCCTGCGCGACCTCATCCAGAAGCACGAGTACGCGGCCCTCAACGCCGGCGACTTTGTCGAGGCCCCGAGCGGCGGCGGTGGCGGATCGGGCGGCGGGCGGCAGGAGCGCCTGGTGGTGCAGGAGGAGAGTAGCGATGACGATGCCGAGTTCAGCGGTAGCGATGACGAGGAGAGGGCGGAGTGGGAACGACGGCGGAAGGAGAGGCGGGCTAAAAAGAGCTGAATGACTGATAGGCCTTAGATCGGGTTGTTAGATGCGGCTCTCAAGGGGTAGGACGAAATGAAATTTAGACGCTGTACGATTCATGAACACAGTCCCTGAGAAGGAGAGGCAGATAAAATGGATATGATACACATTTAAGAATATTGCCCAACTTTTGTTTAACCTGTGTAACACCACGGGTGGTCGTGAACCTAACTACTGAGATTTCGAGAGATAACTTGAGGTATGGTAGTAGATTCTGCATCTATAAGACTATACAATAAGGTGTGTGTCTAAGGGTATTTCTATCGAACGAAAGATATCCAACCAATGCAATATATGCAGCTGAATTCTACCAGCAGCAGAACCAGCTGTGCCAGCCAGAGCCGACCAAAGTCGACTCATCTTGATCCAGGGGTATTCAAAACCAAAGCAAAATATTCTCCGATATCCGCGCCAAACCAATGAGACATTATCTTTCAAGGAGCGTCATGACCATAAACCTCGTCACAGCATCGTATCACACACAATTCATGTACTAGGCCCCTCAGACCGAAGGACTACCACAGCGTAAACGCTGTAGCCACGCCTAGCACCACCGCAAGCACCGTCTTCGTACTTAGCGGCCGCACACTCGTCCCAGCGCTGTCCTGCGACTCAATGTACGTGATATTCTTGACGTCCGCAAGGCTCTGGCTCGTCAGGTTGCCCGTGGAAGCCAGCTCGCTCAGCTGCGTGCCGAACGTGGCCAGGATGTCGGTGCTGCGGCCGGCCGGGCAGAAGACGACCTCCCAGCCGCCGCCGGAGGGGATGATGAAGGTGCTGGCCTGGTCGTCGTACGCGAACGAGTACGCGTCCGGGCACACCTGCTTGGCGCGGGTGCTGTACAGCCCGCGCTTGCACTTCTTGGGGTTGTTGTACTTGCCCGTGCAGCAGTCCTTGTCGGCGCCCGAGTGCGCGCACGCCGACAGGCAGGGGTCGAAGACGGGGCGCGCGATGCCGTCGTCCGGGTACGGGTAGACGCCGTCGCCGGGCTTGGACGGCGGCTGCGTCTGCAGGTCCCACGGGCACCATTTGGCGATGTTGGCGTTGGTGCGCGACGACTCGTACGGCATTGGGAAGCTTGCGTTCGTGTACACGTCGCCGGTGCGCGCGGCCGGCTCGTCGAGGTAGCCCGCCGTCGCGATGCATACCGTGTTGACCAGGTTGGGCGGTATGAAAGACGTGTTGGGCGCCGGCAGGTACACGATGCCTACGGGGATGTTGTACCCGTCCACGAGGCTGATGTCGTAGAAGGTCTGCTTGCCGGTAGAGCCGCCGGCGAGCGTGAACTCGGCCAGTGTGCTTGGAGGTGCGCCCTGAGGTTCATGTTAGTGGTTGCGAGCTATGACATGACCGGTGTCCGCCTCATTGCTGTCACTTACACTAAATGCGCAATCCAGCTTTCCAAAACAGTCGCCAGTTGTGCAGGCCACTCCACCCATATCTGCCGGCGCCGTGCCGTTCTCAGTGAAGGTGCAGTTCGTCCTTCCCCATACTCGGCCCTGCCAATTCGACGAGACCTCCATGGCCTTTTGCAAACCGGAGCCCAGCGAAAACCCTCCCGTCCCAGGCCCGGTGCCATTCGCCGAGCTTATACCGGGCCATATGGTCGCCGGGCAGTTGTTGGTGACCACGAGGGGCACCGTATCCTTGTATAATACCATCTCGATATTCCCCGTCTATGCAGGCAGAGAGTGGCTGTAAGGGAGAGTTGTGTGTCAAAGTTTGGTCTTCAACCAAGTCATGTATCAGATGAAAAGAGCCACAATATGAAGGAACAGCTCTTCAAACAAAGCAATATGCAGCAGAGAAGATCATAGGCAGGTGCAGGGAGGCTACTAAGCCCGTCGTCTTATGAGATTGAGGGCCTGGGCATCTCATCCCATGTCCAGGGACCAAAACCAGGAATTAGGCTTTTCGTCAATGGTGGTCATCCCATTCTTGATAGCGATCGAAGGCAATAAACAAGGGGGGTGCAGAACCAATGCAATTACCCACCTAATACTTACTGGGTTCCCTCCTCTGTTCTCTGGGCGCGCCAGCCAGTCAGGGCGGCCCGTATGAGAGATGGAGGGCCGATCATTGCGAGGGCTGCGGAAGGCGACCTGGGATGTTTGAGATTCGACGATGACGCAGCCGCCATTGGATTTCCTGGCAGCGTGGTCTCGCGTGGGCAGCTTTGGATGCAGGGGACGGGGTTCATGAGAGACAAAAGGCCTAGCGCAGGGACCTGGGCGTGGTCGAGGCGCTGGATCTCTCCACCTCATCCCGCCTGGAGTGGACGAAGCGACTGCGACAGTGACATCACAGGGCATTCCTCCACAGCTCGACCCCACCAAGGCGGATCGTGAATGGGTGTCGGCTGCTTCCGCAACAGCTAGGAGACCGCGATCCCATCTAGATATCATCCTTTTATGTGTGAATGATAGTTTCTGTAATTGAGGAATCACCATCCCTCTCGAACTTGTCAATAGCCTAGATGCGAGTGCTCGGGCTCTAGTCGCAGCCACACTGCCGTTTTGGCTCCCGTTCTGGAGGCAAGTCCTGAAACGCCATGTCAGATAAGCATAAAGTTTGAGTTTCGAGCCGGTCCTTCGACATTTGACGGAGACCCTACTCAACACTCACGCGGCAGTCTGAGTTTCTATGTCTCTACTTACGATGATCTGTCCTTGTCGTGCTCGCGATAGACGCCTCGCTCGGTACATGCTCGAGTTGACATTCGAGGAAGAGTGTAAGAAGTGTTTCACTGACTGTCAGTAATACTCTTCTATATAAGGACATCAGTCGAGCGGCAAATCTGTGTGAATATCAGGCCAAGCAGCGTAACAAGTAAATGGTCTTCTATTTTACTACCCTGACGCACGAGGGATCATCAATGGTGTATCGACCACCCATGCGCTTGGGAAAAAAACTAATTTATTGAATCGCCATGTTCAAAATGATATGCGAACCACCTCCCAGTTCGGTTCGGTTCAGCTCACTTCCCTAGATGGGCATTGTCCGTCAAAACAGTGTTTTTGACTCTCTCTCCTCTCCTCCCAATGTCATCGTGCGAACCATCTGTCCCGGTCTCATAACCATTTATCACCTCCAAAACCCCTTTTCCCTCCACGTTTCTCCCATCCAATGCACCCATGAGATTGGTCTCAATGATTGGGGCCACTTCGGTCATTTCCTCCCCCTTACTCCCCGGCCTGCCTTGTGCCGGTGTCTAACCAGACACACAAGTGGTAGGTATCAAAGTCATGAATATTTATGTGTAAAAGAATCTGCAACGGGCATAATAAAACGAAAAAGGGTTGAAGCAATTGCGATCTCGCAGCAGCCAGTTTCGCTTTACCTGAAGCGAGCTCTACACCGTCCCATGACTTCTCCTTGACACACAAGCTCGGCGCTGAACTCGGAACCGTCTAGTGTCAGGTAGATATCGAAGTAGACCCGGTAGAATGTGCCTTGTGGGGTATCCATGCGCTCGAAGTCCTTCTCCAGGTTCTTCCGCGATAGATCTGAAGTAAGGGTGACAACCTCCTTGATGCCTGTGAAGTTTGATTAGCTTTTGCTTAACGTTAGGCTTCCAAGGTGACTTACGGGGATCCTTGGTGTATTCCGGGCACACATCATCGTCGCAAGCATACAATATATCCTCGTACATGAGGGTGGCGCCAGGGGCAACCTGTCGGAAAAAGGAGACCTTGACGGGCTCGCCGATCTTGACTTTCTGGCCCTTCTGCACAAATATCTGCCTAGTAAACTTGCAGCGGTCCTTTCCGTCGAGAGAAGGCACACGATACGCCTCTGGGTGGTAACCCTCCTTGAACGGCTGGAGAGTGGCCATGAGGTAATGTCGGCGGGCTACACGGTGGGTGATGACACGCTCAGTAATGCCAGCGGTGACGGCACCCTTGACAATAGCAGCCACGGAGTCCATAGGTCGGACAACCTTGGACTGGAATTGTGGAGGCACATGGAGCTTGATCTGCTGGAAGAGGTACTCGGAGGCACCGAAACCACCGACAACCAGGATGTTCTGGAGAGTCCTGTTCTGGGCCTGGATGGCAATGATCTGGTTACGGACAAGCTCGAGAATGCGGTTGACGACAGGCTCGAAGCACTGCAGAATTTCCTCGTTGGTGAAGGTCATGTAACCCTCCTCGATGCCAGCCTCAGGGAACTCGGCCTCGATACCAACGTCAACAGCCCACTTCTGACCGTTGTTTCGGAAATCGGCCTTGATTCTGTTCTCGAAGTCCATGATGCACTTGGCGTACACTCGGCCGGCGGTCTTGGATCCATCAGGGAGCTTCATCTTGCGGATCTTGGTGCGGAGAATATTGCTGAAGTTACGATTCAGAGCTGTTGAACCGCAAGAGTCACCAGAACCAGCCGTGCATTCAGCGACGGTGAATGGGTTTTCGTCCTCGACTTCGTACGCAATCAAATCGACGGTACCACCACCGCAATCAACAATGAGCACAGCATCATGTACCTTCAGATTCAGGAGACCGGTCTTTGAGCAGAACAGAGCTGCGGCTTCCGGCTCACTGACAAGGGTCAGACGGTTGTCATTTTCGTCCCGTAGGAAGCCAGCTTGAATGGCAGCGGCTCTCGTCGCAGCCTTTCCAGCATCGTTCCAGATAGCAGGCACGGTCAGGTAATAGCGGATATTTCTCTCCTCACGGTTGAACACCTCACCAAGAGTCTTCTGGAGAGCTGCGCGCATGGCCTGTCGCAGCTTGAAGAGGTAGTCGGCCGCTACGTCGATCTCAGACTTTCCTGGAGGCAGAGGCGGCAGGTTGATCGGGTCGATATAAGTGTTTCCGGAGAGCATCAGCTGCAGCTTGAACCACTCAACCTTCTGCACGCCCGGTTTCGGGTATCCTGTGGGAGCTAGAGCATCGGCAATATCTGGTCCCCAGCCAACCACTTTTTGGTACTGATCATAATACAGAACGGTAGGAATCTGTCGGGTAGATATTAGCATGACTTTCACAACAAGTCCGCCATAGACTCTTCACCTTCTGTTTTGTATATGAACCAGCACCCGGCCACTCTGTGATAATGTCCTCCTTCGCCTCATTGTTTGTTGCGAATGCGAAAGCGACACCGGAGAATGTCGTGCCCTGATAACATCAAAGAGCCGTCAGCAGAGAGCTAAGCGAGAAGGATGATCGCATCTTTGGCAAGAAACTTACAAAATCGATGCCGACGATCAGCTGAGCTTTACTCCTGCTGTTTCCCTCGACTTCGGCAGCAGGTCTCGTGTATGGAGCTGTGGGCAAAGGCTGGCCTTGGGGAGGAGCTGGCGGGGGGTAGCCAGCCCCGCCAGTGTAACCCGGAGGGCCACCAGGGACCGGCGGGCCGCCTTGCATCTGCATCGGAGGAGGGTATCCAGGAACTGGAGCACCGGTATTGATGGGAGGAGGACCACCGACCATCTGCGACGGCGGCGTGCGGTTTGGTCCTGGGCCTTTGGAGCTGTTAAATGGACGCACTTTTGGGGGAGGGTGATACGAGGGAAGAGACTGAGTGAGACAGGAGGGGAGGGGTAAGGAGGGCAGGATAGCTTACCGGGATAGCCAGCCGTGTAGCTCGGCGGTCGCTGACCGGCACCTGGGTGATTCATCTGGATGCTCTGCTGGGATGAGGTCGAAGCGATTGAGGGCGCGGGCCCCGGACGGGGAGGCTGGATCTGAGGAATATGTGTCTGGGCGGAGGGAGGAGGGGTCTGGCTCTGGGGCAGGTCTGTCGATTGGATGCTGGCGGTCGATCGGCGTTTACCAAAACCAAAGCCTTTCAGGCGCGAGTTCGTAAAACTCATATGGAAGGAGAATAAAAAGGGAAAGAGAGAGGAGAGGAGAATACGAAGAGAGCGAGAAGTAGGAGGTGGAAATGATTATGAGGGGCGGGCAGCGGAAAGCGCAGCGGGCGAAATGGCAGGTTGCAACACAGACAAGAGACGACGGGTGAGAAATTAGGACTCTGGCTGAAGTGGTGCGGGTGCGGTGCGATGCTGGCTCGGGCTTGGGCTTGGGCCTGCCTTGCTGCTGGTGCTGCGGTGCGCACTTCTCTGTCAACCTAAGGACGAACTGTAGGTCCCTTAGCAAAACTAGGTAGTTCCTTTCCACTCCCGCATGCCTGCCAGTCAATTTGTCAGTCAATCAGTCAGACAGACAGGAAGTCCTTCGAGTACTGTAGGTACCTGAATCCTATTGAAAGTGGGCTGGCGGGCTGAGGACTGAGGGAGGATGCCCCCGATGAATCAGTCTTGTCAGTCAATCAATCGTGCACCTGAGTGAGATTCAGTGAGGGGTGTCCTGGTCCTGGTCCTGGGTCCTGGGGGGAGGCCCCTGGGCGGAGCTGGGCTGGCGTTGGCGTAGGACTTTGGGAACCCACGCTACCAGACGTTCCTAGCACAATACGCCACGACCCGCACTCGAGATGGTGTCTCGCTAGGTACAACCGGTGGTGGCTGATGTATTTCTGCGCCAGCGCTACAGCTGACCCGCACTAATGGATGCTGGGTTTGTCTTGTCTTAGGTCGGAGCGAGGAGGTAGGGTAAGGCTGAGAAGCGAGCAACAGTGTGCGATGATGAGGGTGCGGGATGCGCTGCTGCTGTTACTGCTACTGCTGCAGGTGATGATGCTGCGTTGGCACACAGTGGCGGGCGGAGGCAACTCTGCTGAGATCGACTGGATGGACGATGACCGCCTGGCAGGCCCGGTCTTCGAATATGTCAAATAGGCGAACAAGACTCGTTCCCCGGGGATTGGAGGAGTGGATGTGAGTGAGATCGCAAACCGTCGGGGCTTGTTTGTGCGGCAACTGCAGCGTATGGTACGAACCCTGGGCTGTATGGTATGGTGTTGTATTGGGCTCCCTGGTCCTTATTGAAACCAGGGCCTCGCGTGGTCAAACACAAAAGTACCGTCCTGGACGACGGCCTGGTTGCCCTTTGCTTGTTAGCTCCCGAGATCTCTCAAGAAAGACAGCGGTCGGCGATGCTCGCCCAGACCGGCAAAGACTCGAATCGGGCGTAAGACTGAGCCGGCTGGGGATCGTCAAGGAACAAAGACGAAGATCCCAGGAGGCGAGACTTTGCGAGCAACTCAACGGCAACGGCAACACACAGCAGAAAGGCACCCAGTGGCGGCCGCTGATAACGGAATCAACTTACAGGTTACACGTTGTTTGGGGGCCAACAGTGTCTCCTCGGGGCGAACGACTATCTTGCCCACTCCTGGCCAGAAGCAACCCTACCGTAGGTCTGGTAGGTCTTTGGGGTAATCTGTCGGTCCTGAAGCAATTCAAGAATCGAAAGGGTCTAGGTCTAGGCCACGGTGCTGACTATCCCGCTTGTCAATGTCGGCATTTCTTTGTTCGACAGCAATGATTTGGTATCAGCAGACAGCCGGTGTAGAGCGCCACTTTTGTCCACAATGGCAAGACTATTGGCAGCGGCTTCTTCAAATTCTTCTGAATACTTCTCGTTGGTGTGATGGAGGGACAGTGGATTCGTAACTCCACTGGGCTTTCTTTTCTCGAAGAGTTGATCCGGATGGCAAGAGACGTGGGAATTCGGTTTGCGCGATTACAAATGCATAGGAATGTGCGGCGAGGTCTTTCATGGAAATTCAAATATGGTCTTGAGAGACACGGTCAGCAAGCATATGGCTCGGTCTGTCACCGCATCGATGGCGGTTTGACAACGCCGCAATCAATAATTGGTATGTATCACGGCGGCGGGGGTGAAGAGCTTTGCTTGAGCTCAAGGGAACGGCGGAAGATCCTCAAACGGCGCAGACTACTATAAAGAAGGGGTAACGCTGTTCAAGCCCGCCGCCGTTGAGATTGAGCCTGGGGCGAGTAAGCAGCTAATTGCCTGAGGGATGCAGTCTAAAGGTTTGGCATGGACGAGCGATGCCTGAATGGAAGGTTTGCCGGTGTATGCGGCGGTCTGGCGTCTGTGTGTGCGTGTGTGCCTGACTCCCGCGTCCGAAGCGTAGGACCTTGTCCCGTAGGACTTTTGGAGTCTGGGGGACGGGGAGGGGGAGCATCTTTCACCTTGGGGCTCTTCGGCCGTGTCTCACTGGTTCCCTTGTTCCTTGTTCTTTAGGTTCCACGTTGGAGAGAGCGATCTCGTCCCGTATTGTACCCGTATTCCCCCACCTCTGCACACTACACTTGTCTTACTCTGCAGATGGGATGTACTGCGGTACCTGTCATGGAGGCCGGAGGACTTTGATGGTGATGGGGAGTGCGAGGCACCTACTGCGCGTGGCTGAGCCGTGCTGAGCCCGGGGATCCACTTCCGCTCGGCTGGCACGCACTTGGGAGGGGCAGCGTGACTCTATATTTGGCTTAGCGTTGCCGCATCGGCCACCTTGGAGCTCAGCCGCAATCGCTTTCTGTCACCGCTGGAAATAAACACTTTCTAAGCAGTCTGGTCACGAAATAGCTCGTCCCTTACCATTGACAGACATGGCAAGCGAAGGTCGAACCAGCACGCTCTCAAAACTACTGGGAGTAGCGTGTCGATCAGGCTCTCTCGATGATGGAGAAGAACATTGTTCGAAGATTCGATGCAAGGCACCCTTTTCGTAGTGCGACGCCAGCCACAGGGATCTATGGCTTGTCTTTCTGCCAGAAATGTGAAAGCTACAAAGGTGGGCGACTCCCCAATTCAGCTGATGTAGCATTGCTTGAGAAATGTGGAATGAAGGAAACAGATCACACATATACGAAGAGAAAGCCCACATTCTATTATGGTATAAAATCTTTATAAATCTCTAAAATGCTTCCTTTCGTGTTTCTTGGGTTTTCTTTGCAGCTGACCGCGCGTGAGGACTGCTGTGTGGTCCATGACGGCTTTCAAATGCAGTAACCTTGCCAACATGAGTGTTAAAATTGTCGAGTGTCACTGAGCCCAATGCAGCTTGTCAGCACATTTCTACGTGTAACACTCACTTCAATCGCGATCATGAGGAGTAAAGGTGGACAACATTAGATGACAATTGAAGCACTTTTGAATCGCATCTTTGAGACTCTTTGAGCGTTGTGCTAAAAACGGCAGCGTAGGCGAAGCGGGATCGCCAATGCAGCCGGGAGCATGACGTGATCAGAGGAGCTGATTGTCTGGTTAAGCCCCTCCTAACCACCAACCTCGGACGCCTTGGCGAATGAGTTGACAGTTGGGTCGTCGTGATGATAGTGTAAACTTAATTCTCACCGTTCTACCTGCGTCCTGAAGTCAATTTTACAGCAGCAGTCTGCTTATCGGTAGTGCAGATCCCCCAATTGCTTGGTTGGGTTGGGAGACACCTGGGCAGGGTCCGCTCGTAGTTGGGGAATTAGGTCGAGACAAGTGTCGCTTGGATGTGATTCCATCTGCCTACATTCATTCATATATGTGGTCCACGAATTTGCTCTGAGACATTGATCAACGACCGACTATCAAAGAGAGGAACAAAGTGAAACAGCGAAATATGCTCTGTTAGACGGATATATACTCCACCATATAAAGGGAACAGTGGGCGGATCACTCATTTCTTCATCTCCATCCACGTTTTGATTAGCAGAGCGATATCTTCGCAGCAGACGAATGATGCGTACACGATGTCGTTCTTCTATGAGATCAACCTAGGCGTCTTCGCCATCGCCAATGCCTACCTTCTCTACAGACAATACCGTGGCTCAAAGCCAGCCGAACCGGACTATGAACAGCTGGAGGACCAGGACGAGAGAGAAGAGGTCGACCCGGCTGTCGTCAAGCGCTTCCAGCTCGAATATTTCCTAGTCTACGGCCTTGCTGTTGCCGCAGACTGGTTCCAGGGCCCCCATATCTACGCCATATACAAGTACGAAAAAGAGATACCAGAGAAGTGGGTGGCGGCCCTCTACGCGGCGGGCTTCATCTCCGGTGGTGTAAGCGCGTCTTTTGCCGGCGAACTCGCGGATCGATATGGGCGGCGGCTGGCATGTCTAGTATACTGCTTCCTCTATACCCTGACTTGCCTGTCGATGCTCAGCAATGACCTGACGGTGCTGTTCCTCGGCCGGCTATGTGGGGGTGTCTGCACGACGCTGCTCTACAGCGTCTTCGAGACATGGATGATCACCGAGTATCATGATCGGGGGCTGCAAGGCTCTGGGCTCACGCTCAGCTCTATATTCGGCTATATGACTACGTTGAGCTGCATCGTCGCCATTGCGTGCGGTGTTCTGGGCGATGTGCTGGTAGCCAAACTCGGTGGTCGGGTCTGGCCGTTTGTTGCGAGCATCGTCTGCAGCATTGGAGCCGCGGGTCTGATCATGAAAACTTGGGTATGTCTCTTCACTTTGGTTTCAAGTTTGCCACAGCCGCTAATGAATGCACAGAAGGAGAACCTTGGCGGCAAGTCCTCTGAGACGAATTCACTACAGGACATCAAGACGGGAGTAATGACGATTATCAAGGACAAGCGCGTCTTCTCCCTCGGCATCGCATCGTGCTTCTTTGAGGGGACCATGTACCTCTTTATCTTCTTCTGGTCTGCCGCGCTGAAGAGCGCGAGACTACGAAGTGGATCCCAGGAGGACTTGCCTTACGGTCTGATCTTCTCCAGCTTTATGTGTTCCATGATGGCTGGTTCGGCATTCTTCTCGCTTTTCACTCCAAACCACTCGAAGGCGAGCGCATCTTTTATTCTGCTGTCGGTGATTCTGACCGTCAGTATCTGTCTCTCGGGTGCGGTCCTGCTTGTCGACGAGAGACTGCTGTTCTGGGTCATGTGTCTGCTGGAGCTGTGCATTGGCGCTTACTATCCGAGCATGTCGTTCCTGAAGAGCGAGGTGATTGAGGACGGTGTCCGTGGGAGGGTCTACAGCATCCTGAGGTTTCCTCTCAACGTGCTGGTCGTGATCACACATAGCCTGGACGAGGAGGGCGATGCTCATCGGAATCATGTATTTATGGCTCTGGCGGGATGTCTCCTCATCGCCTTCTTCTTTGTCAAGAGATGCTTCTCGACCTGAGAACCATCTTACTCCCTGTCATGACAGCGTCCTCGAATACAATTTACCTCTTGGAGGCAGAAGAACATTTGCTGGCTTCACCGCTCTAAGTGCAGTGGGCCAAGTGGGACCATTTTGAATGCACTGTGATATGTGGCATACTGCGTAGAGCAACGGTGAAGGGAAATAACAGAATCGACGTATGTAGACTGAAGCGTGAGCCCCACAGAAGGGCCATCCGTTGAGAGGAGTTCCCAGCGTCTCCAGCTTCTTTAGATGAAGGACTGCGTAACGGCTCGTTTCACCGTGAAACAGCAGTCGCTTGTGCTACGTCGCCTGAATTCCTACATTACTATGTATACATGCAGCTTTTTGGCGACAGTCCACAGGCTGTCTCGGTTGCCGAGAATGATGGGGGAATGGGTAATTAGTGTACTGGCAGCGGCAGAAACCTGGTTTTGTTACGCTTGGAATCAGGGCTCTTCAGATTAACAGGTCGCCCCTTCCCGGGAATACCTTCACAACCCCACACTCACCTTACCCAGCCTGCCAAACTGGCTCCAGCCCTTTCCCAAAACGATTGGGGGTCCTTGCTGTGGTTCGTTGTGTGCCAGCGCAATGATCCTTACCTCGCTACCTTTATCTGGTGTTTCCTCCAATTGCCGCTCGGATTGCAGCGCAAAGCCTGGCTAATAAGCGTCTCCTGTGAAGCATACACCTACCTTACCTACCTAATTAACTACACTTGGGTAGCTTCTTGATGGCCCGTTGCGTTGCGGTTGCCGTTGAAGAGTGGGCGGTATTAAAGCGCGTGACGATCCCATCCCCAATCTTGAATTGAAACGTTTCTCCTCCTCTCCTGTGGTGTCCTGCTCTGATTCTAATTACCTACAGCACACCTGCATACTCTTCTTCCATTCGACGATTTCTCGCCATCGACTGCTCTGGTCAATTCCTCACGATCGTGTGATTTGCAGCTGCCTCGCGCAGGATCGGGATCCTCCAGTGCACCTCGGCGCAGGTTCAAGGTCCTGAGGTGACAAACGGATTCTCCCTGAGTCGGACCTTTTCTTCGCTGCGCGCTCCACCTCCGCTGTGTCCCGGACTTTCCCCTGAGAATTGTCCCTCACAGTCTACGTACGGTATCTCGCGTCTCGATAATCTTTGCGGGGCGGCACGGCACAGGTTTCTCGCTTGGTCGTTATCGGGGTGCAATTTCGAGATATTTCACTCACGGCGGTGTTCGAAGTGCATGCAGACTGGTTCAGGGTGCTGCTAAGTGCAGGCCGTCTATCCCGGCCCGGCACCATCTCTCTCTTTGTTGAGGACTGCAGGCCTGCATTTGCATTCCTCCTTCGCCGATTCGACATTCCCTGTCGTGTCACCCAACCTAAACGCTGCCAACGCCCTCGTCCCGCTAGGGTAGAGGCCATCGTCTGCGCCTAGCCTCGGACAGGGAGTCTTGTGCCCTCAAAGCTTTTGCATCACCCAACCACAGCGCCTCGGCCCCAAACCTGGCACCCAGAGGAGCGATTCAAGGCCTTGGTGGGTTCTCCTCAGTATTTTCGAAGCCGCTAGCAGTTGGTTGTGGACGGGGAATACAGCGCCCCGACGTCACCTGCTACTAGAAGTCTCCAACTCAACGCGCTAACATTTGCGTGGTTTGCTAGCTTCTGCAGCAAATCTCCAGATCACGCTGGCCCTATGACATAGTCTCACAACCACTCCTTACTCGAGTACTGGTAGTGGTGCACTTTGCACTGCTGCAGAGACGACGTCGTTAGCCCGATCTCGAACCATCTCGCGGGACCAAACACGGTCGAGGCCGTAGTCGTCCCGAATTGCTCGTGTGCTGCTGGGCGCAGTGGCTTTAATATCGCCGGCTGATTTTCTCCCCTCTCCACTGGGAGCCCCAATCTCCAATTGCAGGAGCGGCGAGCGCTGCATTACAGGGGTTCGGCGCACTCGGCAGGGTCAGTGATCTCATTGCAACACTCTCCAGGTCCAGTCCGGCCTGTGTCTGGGAGCGCAATCCGGCCCTTTTCCATGGTCCAGTGTCTCCACACGAGCGAAAACGCCCCGACTCCCCGCTGAGGACATCCCACATTGTGCTCTGATTCTACTAGGACGGTCCAGGGCAGCCAAGCACGGTACCACTGCCCGTCACAAGCCCCGTCGCCTCCGCCCACCGACACCACGACGGACAAAACCTTTAAAGGCGCCGCGTGGCGCGCAATTGATGCCTCAATTGCAACTGACTTTGGCACAGCAGACAATTCCCTCACCGTTATTACTACTGTTGATGAGAAGAAAGAGCGCTCTGCGCGAAATTTGTTGCTTCAAGGGTCAGTCGGCGTGGTACACATCCTCTGCTCCTTGGCCGTCTTAGCCCTCGTCTTAGTAAGTGCGCCCTCACCCATTTTCAGCACTTTGTTGTCTTAGCGAAGTGACGTACCTGGGTGCTGTGCAGTACATCTAGTACATGCCTGTGCCCGGCGACACACACCTAAGCTCTCAGTACCACCTAGCTCTTCAGCTTCTCACCTCACCATTTGCTGAGTGGCTGCCCCGCATGCCCAACACACCCAATTATTATTCCTGATCTCCCCAAGCTCCTAGCTCTTCCCCCGGCCGCCTCTTCCAATACTTCGTTCGTGGTTGCTGACCGACGCATGGCTTGCTAGGTCGTCCAATTGCTTCTCAGTGACGCCAAGCTCTATTACTCCAATATATTAGCTGTCCGCCCCTTCTTCCAACCCTCCTTCTCTCCTGTCGCACAAATACCCCAGGAGCCGGTGTGCGAGAACCCATACCCGTTTCGTACACTTGCGCCAGTATCCAGACCGCTCACAATGGCTCTCACAACCGAAACGAAGCGTGTAGTCGGCCTATACGAGTACACGGACAAAGATGTTAATCAGGGAGTGACCGAGTTCCTCCGTCAGATGCGTAAGCTAGACCTTGCTGAGGCGTAAGAAGCTCAATCAGTGCTAACGGAGCTCTAGATGAGGGCTTGGAGCAGGACGGCACGAGCCTGAGCCAGATTCCCACCTACGTTACTGGCGTGCCCAATGGCACTGAAAAGGTGAGTCCTCGCGCGTAGGTTTATAGCATTGTAGAAGTAGCTAACACAAGCCTAAGGGTCTATACCTGGCGGTCGACCTGGGTGGTACTAACTTCCGCGTCTGCTCAATTCACCTAAACGGCGATTCCACCTTCAATCTCACATACAACAAGGTAGCCATTCCGAAAGAGCTCATGGTTGCTAAAACCGCACAAGAGTTGTTCGCGTTCCTCGCGAAGCAGATTGAGGTCTTCTTGAGGACTCACCACGAGGACCGGTTCGAACACCGTGTCAGACGGCGGCCGACATTCAGCACCGCTGAAGGCTGGAGAGATGAGCATATTTTCCGCCTGGGCTTCACATTCAGCTTCCCCGTTCGGCAGCTAGGCATCAACAAGGGCACTCTGATCAGGTGGACTAAAGGATTCGATATTCCGGATGCTGTTGGAAAGGATGTCTGCGCTCTTCTTCAACAGGAAATCGACAAGCTTAACTTGCCTGTCAAGGTCGCGGCGCTTGTCAACGACACAGTCGGGACCCTAATGGCTCGTGCTTATACCTCCCCAGGCAAGACCGGATCCCTCCTCGGTGCCATCTTCGGAACCGGCACCAACGGTGCCTATGTGGAGAAGTTGGAAAATGTCAAGAAGCCGATCACAGGAGAGTTTGACAAGTCTACTGGAGATATGGTCATCAACACCGAGTGGGGCTCATTCGACAACCAGCTTAGTGTCCTACCCAACACCACGTGGGATATCACGCTCGACAAAGACAGTGTCAACCCCGGAATCCAAATGTTCGAGAAGCGTGTATCCGGCATGTTCTTGGGCGAAATCCTGCGCCTGACCGTCCTTGATCTATTGAAGCAGGACAAGATTCAACTGTTCAAGGATGTCAACTCCAGCAGCAATGACTGGAGGTCAACGACCACTATTGCCGATGAGTCGGGCATGTTCAAGCAGTGGGGTGTCGACAGCTCGATCATGTCAATTGCAGCTGCTGACAACACACCGGATCTTGGTACACTCCGGCAAGCGCTAGAGGATCAGCTCCAGGTATATTCACCCTCTCTGGAGGATGCTCAGGCTTTCAAATCGATTGCCGGTGCTATTGGCCGCCGGGCTGCACGGCTCTCAGCTGTCGCCATCGCCGCTATTGTTCTGCAAAGCGGACAACTAACGGACCCAGCCACACAGGATGAGCCCATCGATATCGGCGTTGACGGCAGCTTGGTCGAGCACTATCCATTCTTCCGAGACATGATCTACGAGGCACTGAAGACCGTCGAGGGGATCGGCGAGTCTGGCGCCAACCGTATCAGGATCGGTATCGCGAAGGATGGATCTGGTGTTGGTGCAGCCCTGATTGCTCTAGTGGCAACGGGCATGGAGAAGCACAAGAGCCCCATTGATGTTCTTGAAGAGGTAAGGCCCCACCTCCAGGCAATCCCCGAGGCCTGTCAGGTCGTGACCGTTATCTAAACTCTTATTCTCCCTATACAGCATCGACGAACTCTCCCCATTTTCCATCAAATCCAGTGGAGGCTCAGGAAAGTTGAGTGGTGGCAATGGGCCGGCGTTGGGCTGGCTGCGGCATTTGTGATTTCTCGACCTCAGGTCTTGACTGGAATACGGCGGCGTTTTGGCTGGTGAATCTTCGACTTCGGGTGTCTGGCCGGGAAATGAATGCATCGGTGCATTTTTGAAGCGTGTTTTTGGTGCTCGTTCGCAGGGCTCTGCCAAAGGAAGATCTCTCGTTGACCCTATTTTGGGAAGAGATCTGAAGCTTTGCCTGAATCATTGCTGAAAGGACTGCCTACAAGCTGTGTATATATATCACTGCACGAACAACCTCGAGTTTCTATGTCCAAAAATCAACATTTACAGTTGATCAGGAGGGCTCTAGGGCCAGATTGCTTAAATATTTGGGGCCACTGTCATGATATATCGTAGCTGGCAATCATGCCTTTACCAGCTCACTGCTATTACCCCACCGATAGGCACATGGGCGTATTCGAGGGTTGGTGTCCCCTGAAATTATACGAAAATGCCCAACCGTCTTCATAGAAAGGTGTTTAAGACACCGGCTCTAGGGCAACCTGTATATATGCCTAATTTCCATTCCCCCCCCCCCCCCCCC